CAGTAGCTTACAGTCTGAAATAAGAAATGTGAACTGTGTTTTATCCCTTTGGTTGGATTGAGTGTTATAAGACTTAGAGAGTAGACGAGTGCCTGACGGTTCACAAAAGGGATTTCTAGAGAAGGAGGGCATCACAAGAGGAGTAGCTGATGTTGAACTACTGGTTACTCCAAAGACTTTGTGAGTTCTAGTTCCACAAGCTTCCTGCCTCTTGAGGAACTTCACTCCTTCCCATAAATTTTAGTTTCCATATACCATACTCACCAGCCCAGCGAATCTTGTGTTGTCCTTTTCTCACCTACTGCTCTTCTGCTGCACATCCCATCTCATGTCACCATCTTCAAACTGGAGCTGGCTGTCTGTTCAATATTTTAACAGCTGCCCCTTCCCAATGATGCATGTGCCGAATTGCCAGTTCTAGGTACCCTAGAAGACTGCACTGATTGATTATAAGTCACCCTCGCCTAAGCAAGGAATCCAGGAGTGGGGGGCCAATAGTGACGAAAAAAAAAAAGGTTTTTCCTTAAAAGAAATTAAAGATACTATCTCCATTTGTGAAAGAGGAAGGGGATGGGGAGCAGATGAGAGGAGCTTCCTTATGAGTGAAGGTCTGCTTTAACTACTGGTTACTTCAAAGGCTTTGTGAGTTCTAGTTCCACAAGCTTCCTGCCTCTTGAGGAACTTCACTCCTTCCCATAAATTTTAGTTTCCATATACCATACTCACCAGCCCAGCGAATCTTGTGTTGTCCTTTTCTCACCTACTACTTAGAGACATTTTTGAGTTGTGGTATTTTCCTAATTAAAAATTTTGATCTACAGCCAAGAGCACAAATGTGTTTACTGTTAACCATCCACCATGTATGCTTTCTACATGTTCAGATTTACATTATTTTTTGGTCAGTATGTTGTGTTGGTCTATATATTAATATGAGAACATAGTGAGAAAAAAATAGCGCACTTGGCATAAATAGTAAGACATTTCACAGTAAAGAACTGGCCAGACATCTCTTGAAGCAAAGTGATTGGCAGCTCTCAATTTTGTACTGTTTGGGTATTGTAGCATAACGTTACCAAGCTAATCAGACTGCACTTTGAAAGCAATTACTTTTTTTGGCCTCGCTCTGCTGGGAAACTATGGGCGAATGGGAAAAAGGAAACAGAGCAATACTTGAAGTTTTGTCTGTTTTGGAAAAGAAAACCGGACATAACTCAGCAGCCGAGGTAGCACGCGTGTAGCTAAAGACATAAAATGCGTTCTATGTAGAAGCTGTGATGGGCACAGCTGGTAGCCATGGTAACAACATCTACAGTGTTTGAGGTCCGATCAGTATAAATAAAACACTCGCCAATTTCATGCCAGAGCAAATAGTGCACTCATAATACAAGACGCTAGGCAGCATTGCTATATGGTATAGACTACTGATTAGAAGCTGTAGCAAAAGTTGTGCGCTACTGCTATTCATTAATGTAAGTCTCATATTTATATAACACCGATCTAATGAGGCCCATTTACTGAGGATTAGAGAATGTTCATGTTTTTCCCCTTAAAGTTGAATTCCAGGTATGGATTTTTTTGAATAGGTGTATTGGTCCAGCTTGAACCAATTTAAGTAAGCATACGCTGTACGTGGCTGGTCCCTGTGGATGCGGAGAATTGCTTTAGTAGCCAAAGCCACTATAGTGATCCTCTCTGTCTTCTGGGTTCCGTGCCAAGATGCTGCTCTGCTGCATAGTGGAGATGGGGGTCACCCGCTTAACACAGGCAGCATTTAGAGAACAATTTGCATGCTCTGATTGGAAAAGGTTGAGAGGTAGAAGCTGGACATCACAATCTCCACCTTATCCAATTAGAAAATGCCTTGTATTAATTGAGGAAAATACAAGGCGTCCTCTAAATGGCATCCATGTCAAGTGGGTGACCCTTTTTGGTTATTATGCAATAAGGCAGCTGCTCGGCACTGGTCCCGGAAGACTGTGAGGACCATTGTAGTGGTGGTGGCTACTACAGCGATTCTCCACTTCCACAGGAATCAGCCAGGTATCCAATACTTACACTGATCCAAGCTGGATCAATGCAACTATGCAAAATATACATATCTGGAGTTCAGCTTTAAAGCAGTAACGTCAAAGTAATGTTTTTTTGGACACATGCAGCTCTCTTACTCCATCTCTTGCATCCCTCAGCCAGTTTAAAGGTTTAAATCCAATGAGCCCCAGCTGTTCTCCAGTGGATAAAGGCTACGCCTGCTTACATTTTTACAACTGAATGGTTCAGGAAATGTTTTATGGCCCTTTTCTCTGAAATAAAATGTTTTAAAGCTGTAATTGTTACTATAATATTAATCACTAAGTGCTATATTTTTTTCTGGAATTAAGTAGGCGTGGCTCTCAATGGATACACCCTGGCATTCATAAAAAGAAATCTGTTTCCTGCCCTTCAAAAAAATGGCACAACTTGTGATATATTCACTTCAGTAAGGTGTAGGTGAATCTGTTGCAGAATTTTCTCAGGAACATGCTGTAAAATGTGCCCTCACAACACACGGTAACGCGCCATCAGCAATGTATTGCATGACATTTAGCATGAATAGCATCCTAATAGACCTTGCAAGTGCACCACAATATAAGTGCGATACAGCACACCAAAAAGCACAGATGGGAATACAAAGTGACGGGAAATCCAAGAATTTGCAGTTGTCACCAGAAGAGGTGAGGTGAAATCATCTGTTGTGTCTGAAGGACAGGAAATTATTGGAAATCATCCCAGTAGTGCACAGGCAGCCAAAGCTAGCTCTGTTCATAACAAAAAAAAAGCTTACTGTACTTTAACCCCTTGGCGCCGGCACCTCCCGGCCCTTTAAGGGTTTCAGAAGGCGGGGTTTAGGGTCATGTGACCGCCGTGACACACCATCACGGCGGTCACATGATTGGGAAAGGTTCCGATCAAAAGAGGAGATCGGGACCTTTCCATGAGTACTGGACATGTGTGCTGGCAGCGTGCAGGGCACGCACTCTCAGCACATATGTTTTTCTTAATTGCACGCAAATGTGTGGCCGATCGGCCTCAAGGGCCATTCGTATCGTATCAGTGTCTGTGACCAAGCGCCCTATGGGCATGGCAAAACGCTTCAGAGGGCGTGGCCGGAGTGACAGCTGAGGCCATTGGTATCACAGTGTCTTCACAGGACTCCTTGAGATAGGTATGAGCATTGTCCATCGTATTTCTCTGCCCAAAGTTGCATGAAAGTTACACTCCAAAATCACGAACTTTGGAGTCCTAAAAGTGTGAATGGAGCCTATATCTTACAAATCGACTAGTCTCCAGCCACTGTGCACTTTGTACTTCTCATCTGAGAGGCCGCATCCATCAGGACTATGTGGATGCACACAAACAGGTGGCTGCATTGGACCCTGCTAGGGCAAAAAAACACCACAACAGAAATGAGAGGTAGAGAGAGAAGAAGGAAAGAAATGCTTTAGAAGATGGAAAAGCAGCAACTAATGTCTTGACCTCTGCTACAAGAAAACAAATATCACTTTTATAATGAAAATTAAGGGAGACTTTAGTTATAAAGAGAACATATTATTGTTTGGGACTTATCAGTTATAAAATGAAGAGATTTTCTTGCATTTGCATGTTTCCAGGACAGGGAGATAAAACTGCAGGTGCACTTGCCAAATCCACCAGTGGCTCATCCTTGGTATTGTGGAGTAACTTTACGAGTATGGTGGTTCAAATACCGACAAGCTTTTTTCCTTTACTTTCTTATCCTGATTTTACCAGTAGCTTGATTCCTGTCCTAGAGTGACAACCCTCTGTCACTGTACTATATATATGATGGAAGAGTATTGTCATCCAAGATTGACTGCTTGCTTCTTATTTCGATATAAAAAACACTTCCCCCTTCTCACCTCCAGAACATAGAGGGAGGCGTTATATTGTTCACAGTTGAGAATTTGGAAGGCTAATAACATTGCATCCAGGGGTGGACTGACAACTCATGGGGCCTCCGGGCAATAGGGGATCATAGGGCCCTTGTGTCCTTACCCAAACTCAAAAAAGCCTATGAAAAAGGTACCGGGGGCATCTCATGGGGCCCCCTACTGACCCCGGGCCCTCGGGTAGTGCCCGAGTTTCCAAATGGTCAGTCTGCCCCTGATTGCATCACATTTCTGTTCAGTTGCACAGTTCAATAGACACACACAGTGTGCCTCAGTATCAAGCCCACATGAGTGTACCCTTAGCAAGCAGCTTGCTAGTGTGTACCTGGCAGGGAAGGGGAGGGGAGCCAGGAGTGGCGGAGGGAGATTCCAGAAGAGCAGGTTCAGGGCTGCTCTGTGCAAAACCATTGACCATTGAACAGAGCAGGAAAGTATAATATGTTTATTTAAAGTGTTACTAAACCCACTACAGTAAAATCAGTCTGTTTATGCAATAAAGCATGCTTGTTATACTCATTGTGGAACCTAAGGGGTTAATCCTCCGCATTGTGTGAAAAGGATGTTTGATCCTGTGTTATCTGTTCCTCCTCTTGTTCAAATGTCCACATCTTATCTCCTGATAAGACAGACTGAACCTGTAGCCATTCTGAACATGCTCAGTTTAGTGTGTATTGCTAGAGACATGTCTCGATCTCCTCTACAAACAATCAAATTCAGCGATAATGATTTAAAGTGTTACTAAACCCACAACAGTAAAATCAGTCTGTATATGCAACAAAGCATGCTTGTTATGCTCACTGTGGAACCTAAGGTGTTAATCCTCCGCATTGTATAAAAAGGCTGTTAGATTCAGTTTTTTCTGTTCCTCCCCTTCTTCTAGTTTCCCCAATCCATCTGCTGATAGAACAGGGCCTTGAGGGCAAGCTGCACATGCTCAGATTAGTGTGTATTGCTAGAGAGTTTTAATTTTCTTGGGGGAGTGCATGTGATCAGCACAGGGCCAATCAGTGCTCTCTAGACAGAGGGTCAGGGGTTCTGCAGCCTCCTAGAACAATCAGGGGAGAATTAAAACTCCTCCTACAAGCTTTAATCCGTGCTCTGCTGGATACTGATAGAAGTCACAAGACTGCTCTAACTTCTGATGAGAAAAATATTTAGCAGTTTATATTTACTAAAATAATTGCATTTCTATGTTCTGTGTACTGTGAGAGACCACATATAGTGAATGCAGGGTCCTGGGTTTAGTAATACTTTAAAAACTTGGCTTGACCAATAGGTGTAAATTAGAATACATGAGATGATAACATTTCTTCCGATAATTGGAAAATAGTGACTAGCCAATAACTATGAAGAGAAAAACTGCCTATTTGCTTCTGCTGCCTATAGGCCCTGGCCTACGGTGCGTAATGGTAAATCTGGCTCCTGTTCACACTGCATATGGATGACATAAATTTCGGAATGGCAGGAGTAACTGAATTCTGAAGCTCATAACATTCCTCAGCAATGTGTTAAGATCAAAATGTTTATCTTGCTGTCTTTTGAACCATCTACTGAACTGCATGACACTTACAAAACTTCATTTCAGTTGATTCATTTCCATCTGTTTAAATCTGTCTCCATCAGACAGTAATGAAACCACTTTTCACACTATTAGTTGTTCATTAGAGACTAAACCCCCACCACTAATGCCTCAAGCTATTAATTCACAAGGCTGCTCTTTACTTAATAATTCATTTGCAGTTTGTTTAGGGTGCTGAAGAAGAGATGGTGTGAAGAGCACAAGTAATTGCAGACATTTTTCTAACACCCTTTTAGATCTAAATGTTCAACAAGATAATCAATTGTTAACTGGATTAACATGCATCTTTGTGCCAGATAAATTCCCCTTCTTATGCCATTACTTGGCTCAGTGGGACAGATACAGGTCTACTTGGCAAGATAAGGCTAGCTGTACATAGACCAGGTAATAAACAAATTAAAAGGAACATATTCTGCAGGTCTTTATGTGTAAAAGGAAAGCTGAACTGATGTAAAAAAAAAAATCTAAATAAACCATTGAAATACATACATGGATGCTTTTTTACCTGCTAAAGTATTTAAAATTCTGTCCAGCCAGTCTTGAGATTTACACAGCCCAGCCAGACAGCACAGCCAGTGTAATGACCTGATTTCACTAGGTTATCTCTCTGCTCTCTCCTCCTGTCAGCAAATGTTATTGCAGCATACCTGTACTGTGCCTCCCTCTCCTAGTATGAATGCTGCTGTGCAGAGGATTGCAAGAGATATTTTTATATCTGCCTAGACTTCATGTTCAAAGATTAACTCCAGGTATGATCATTATTGCATATTTACATTGTTTCAACTTGGACCAATGTGTGTATGTATATCTCATACCTGGTGGGCTGCTGGGGAAGCTGACAATCACTGTAGTAGTCAGTGTTACTACAGTGGTCCCACACAAGTACACGGAATATGGACTATAAAAGGACTACAGTGATAGCCATTATCTTTCATGACCTGTGCCAAGCGATTTCCCCTCTGCATATTGACCACAGGGGGTTCCAGCTTGGCACTGATGCCATTCACAGAACACCTTGTATATATTTTTTACTGAATACAAGGTGTTCTCTGATTGGACGTGGTAGAGAGGAGGGACAGTGATTTCACAACCTCCACCTCGTCCAAAAGAGATTGTCTATTCATATAAAAAGTACACACGGGGCAATGTCAAGGGGACAGTGGATCCCTGTTGCATCTTCTGGTCTTGTCCTCATAAACCCCTTCTGGAATTCGATCTGAAGTATGATTTTTAGATTGACTTATATATCCCTATGAGACCGCCTGGAGACCTGTCTGCTTCACTTGACTCCACTCTCAAGGAGTAGATACAAGAAATTCCTCCTGATCCACTTACTCATTGCTGCAAAAATCTGCATCCCACAAAAGTGGAAAAGTCAATACCCCCCAATGGTGGCACAGTGGATAGCTGTGGTTAACGAAACTAATGAAATAGACTGCCTCATGGCAGCCCATACAAAAAAAGAGGAAATCTGAGGAAATTGTGGTATTACTGGCACCATTTTCAGTACTTCCAGTACTACAACACACACCTAATTCCAGAAGAAAATCAGTCGACCTCACCCAGTTAGCCAATACATTCCATACAGGTGGTCTTGGCCTCCATGCCAATGTCTGGCCCTCAAGCGCTCAGCTGCAAAAAAAAATTTGGAATGGCCCCTTAGCTCATCCTTTTTGGAGTTTAGCAGTTTTCTCCCTTTTCCCTCTAAACGTTCTCATTTACCCTTTCACCCTTTGCCTCCAGAGCCTATCAGAGCATCTATCCTTAGTTTTGGTATTCAATTTGAAACCTACACTGTGTTTCAGCATTGCTTAATGTGAAAGGGAGCTGGCACCTCACCTGGGTTTTGTACTTTATGGGAGTCCATTGTGACTTGGTTGATGCTGTTTCACAGTTTTTTGCCAGTGTACGTTCACCCAAGTGGAGACTGATAGCTTGCAATAACTGTACTCTTATGGACTCGGGGCTAATGTTGTTGATTTTTTTAGGTTTACTCATGTGTGCACATTGGTATTGGTTTCATGTTACCCAATTGTGCTGGATGGTATAATAAGACCCGTATAATTAAAAAAAAAAAACCAATACACAGGACCTAGAAGATAGTGGCTATTATTGTAGTAGCACAATTACTACAATGATTGTCAGCTTCCCCAGCAGCCTTTCAGGTATGAGTTATGCATACATACATTGGACCAAAATCATAGAGTTTGACCTGGAGTTTAAACTTTGATGCGTATCGCTAGTCCTTTTTCTTTCATTTTAGATTTTTAGTGTTGCTAATTTTATATTGCTTTCGTTGGATGTTAAATAGCGCTTGTGGGAATCTGTAAGCTGCTAGCACATCAGCTGGTATAAGTTGACAATATAAACCAGGGCTAAAACCAGTGCTAAAACAGTAAATCTACACAACACTCCCCATGTGTGAATAAACGAAATCCCATGTGACAAAAAACAAAATTATACATTATTGAACAATTGTTATCAATCCAAAATGTGAAATAATACAAAGCAAATAGTCCTCATGCAACAAAGTGCAAATCAATTATAAATAAGAACCCTTTAAGGACATGATCCTCCGCGTCAACCAGTGTAGAATGATGAAGAGAATAGACATCCTACCTGAGTGCACCTTCATCAATAAATCCAAAATATGCTTACCAGAACATTTTGACTCCTTATTATAGGAAGTCAAAATATGCTTGGGTGTAAGAGACACAGCCTAGTATTTGGCTGTCATCCTCCCATGTGGGCTCCTGTCTTTCAAGGATCACAGACTCCACCAAAAATGAAAACCAGGGAACCACATAGTATGAAACCACAAACTCCAAAGTTTATTAAAATAGTAGAATACTCACAAGGATAAAAACCATAGCACATGTATCAATAAACACTCAAACCCAGGATTTAGATGGGTGACTTCCAGGCTTAGGGATGCGTGATAATGTCATGAATGTCGGCTCCACACTACGCATTTCATCACAATGACAGTTGTCACTGGAACTGAAGTAGTGAAAAAACTTCAAATATATACACATTTTCCAGAGACAACTTTGTAAGAGAGATTTCCCATTACTTCATGTGGTGTCCAGACTGCTTTATATATAAATATACTAAATAATTATTTGTATTTATTAGTTCTTGAAAGTGATTTGTAACAAAGAGTGATTTTCAAAGCTAGAAAATAATTATGATCAATATCTTCCATTATCTTCTATTAGTTGACTGTCTTTTTTGTATTTATTATTCTAATACTTTTCTATATTGTGCTCATCAAATTGAACAAACCCTTGTTGAAACTCCTCTTTATGACCAGTAGAGTGCTATAACCTAGAACAACAGATTCATCTTTTTCTGGACTGGTATGTAAAATGAAATGTATTGGTAGCAATGGGTAATGTGAGTTAGCCACACGACTGGTAAATGCCTACTTTCCTATCATGGCTGGACAAGAGTTCTGTATCAGTGATCTATTGCAGGAAATGTGTAAACCTTCCAATATAGAGCCTAGCACATAAATGCCTGTAAGCCTCCCCTTTTCTATATTTTTGCCAAATATGATAATAAAAAATATAGCTGTGAGATAATCCACTCTATATACATTATACATAGTATTTGTGAGCAATATTGTTTCCTTATGTCTGTACAAGCTTTTGAAGTATCCCTTATGTACAATAGCACAGCTGACTGTAGATTGTTCACGTTGACTCTGCTTCTAAATTTTTGGGGTCCAATGTATATAAATGATGCTAACAGAAATTGTTGCTGCCCATATCAACCCTATAGATACCTGAGGACAAACAAAAAAAACAATATTTCCATTAGATGCACTGCAATTGCCTTTTCCTGCATCTGTAAAATTAAACAACTTTTTTGGAGTTTTATTATCTTACAGTCCAGCCTTTCCATATTTGGATGAAAATGCCATAAATTTAGGACGGTAGCTAGAAATCCCACAAGAATGCTCCCTTGTAATGAGTGGAATATTCTTGTGGATATTGAGCACTCAGTTTTCCTGAGAGACAGCATGAAGGCACAGTGACATAATTTGCTCCTCCTGGAAGTGTCAGAACCCATGTTGGGTAAAGTCATTTTTTTATAACATTATTATAAAAAGTCATTGTAGGTAATCTAACTTTGGGGTCAAGGGACTTTTCATGAAAGGTTCTTTTATATCGTGTAAGTATAACCTGCGCAGAGGACTAATCAATTAGACTGGCTGCTGCTAGCAAAATCACAAATGTGCAACGGTGAACAAATGTGTGAGTGCAAATATAAAAATTGCTGCTCTGCCTCTCCCGAAAACTACTTTAAATAATTAAATAAATGAATGAACTCCATACTACACAAAGGGTCCACACAAATGTGCATGTGCTATAATGCCCCGTGGGCTGGCAATTATATCCTCCCCAGTGACTAAATCCCAAATAAACCAATAAGTAAATACAAGGTGCTTAAAGAACAATAGTGCTAAAAAATAGCACATGTACAATGCCATGAAACTGTGTATATAGTGAAATTATATAAAACATATATATATATATATATATATATATATATATATATATATATATATATATATATATTAAAGTCCAATAATTGTGCAAACATGTAAAAGTAAAAAAAAAATTGAAAGTTCCAAAAAACCCCGAAAAGAAA